GGCGGGGACAAGCTTCGACAGCCTCACTCCCTTCCCCAAGCGCTTCATTTTGGTTCCCCTCCCCACATGACGTCACTCCCCTCACCGCCTAGAGCCTCACCCCCCCCCCTAATTTTAGATCGAAGAGTGCAAACTGATATTGACTCCCACGCTCTTGGTACGGTCTTCGTCATGGTACAGAAAAGCTTTTGTTGGTTGTTTTTCATGTCTTGAAAGTTTTTCAGCACACAGACAAACGATTTATTTTAATATTTCAAACACAACAGACGACATATCTCGTTTGGTTACCCTCATTTATACCGGCTCATGATGGTGTCCAGTTGTGGGCTGTTGTTAACACGTTAATGAACGTTCTGGTTCCCCAAAAGACTGGAAATATATTGACCACTGTACCAATTATCAGCAACGATCATGTTCCATCAGTTGCTTCGTTAGTTACAGACCAGTTGTGAACATCGTTTTTAAGAGATAGTAAAGTTGCGTCATATTGTGATATAATAAATATATATTGTTTAAATCTTGTCCGTCTAATCACAACAAAATTCTTATTAAAATATTACAATAATTAACATTTAAAATATTTAAAAATATTAAATGATGTTCTTTATCGAAATATTCGATGGTCTAATGTAAATCGAATATTTCGATAAAGAACATCATTTAATATTTTTAAATATTTTAAATGTTAATTATTGTAATATTTTAATATTTTAATAAGAATTTATTGTGTATTCTCATAGGAACAGAAGAATAAAATAAGTAATTTACATTTTTCTTACAGCAGCCGTCGTTCGAGGTGTTAACAGTACAATAATTAAAAATTCTACTTTGGAAGGGTTACAATAATGAATAAACTTAATAATACATTAATTATGCTGGTGACAGCAATGTTTGCGCGTACATTACCAAGTACTCATTTTCTAATCTAAAACCATCTAATCGTCCGGAGATAGGGATTAGCTCTATCTAGTGGGCCCAACTGTGTAGGAACCTGAAGACGGAGATAGAGTCCCATCTCCGAAACGTCGTTTTACGTTTTATATTTACTAGACGATGGATAATATCCAAGAAAATTTTTATTCAATTTACTCATTTTCTACTCAAATGTTTCATAAAACACTTCTGCAACGTCATCTTAGATACTTCAGAATGGGTTTTAAGCTATAAGACACTCCCCTACTCCAATACATTGATTTATAATTTATTTTCCAACCCTCCGACATCTGTTCTGTTTCTACTTCTTATTTTCTTTGCCTTGGACAGAAGGGTAATTAATTCAAAGATAACAAATCTATTCGCAGTTGGAGCAAGGCCTTTACCAACGCAGGACAATAAATGCCCCGAGCGGAATCCGAACATGCGGTCCCTGTGGGCGGGAGGTCTAAGACACTTTGCATTACAGCATCAATAATAATTTTACCTGTGGACTTATAACAGCGGACAGAATGAATAACCTGGCCTCGGAGTGCCATCAGAAATTGTACTTCAACTGACTGAGTTTAAAACCCAGACCTGCTTGCGGGAAGGTTTGTTATTAATTTTAAGACCCGACGCCATATTTGGAGGTTACGTAGAAGGTTTCTATTGACTGATGAATTGGCAGGAATGTGGAAGGATAAGGGAATAGCATGACAGTATTCGCGAATGAAGCTACATAAACCCCGTCAAGATTCGAACCAGTCACTTTCAGAAGCAATGCAAGTTGCGTTACCAATAAACCATATCCGTTTCGGGAAAGTATTTCTGACATAAAGAACAAACCGATGGGTTTTCACAATGGAAACATAGGAAATGTAAACTTAATTTCACCGGATACGTCCTAATCTGCATGGCCAGGAAATTCTCTGCTGCTTTTACAGTAACCGAAAGTTCATCACCGTCTTCACATAAGACGGCAATGCATCTCGCGTTGTGAAAATGTATCATCGTCAGAGGATTAATGTCTCCTACAATCTCTCGGGTTCGATTCCCGGCGGTGCCCGAATTTATAACTTGTGTTGGGCAAGGCCGTGGTCTAGGCAACACGGAGTTTTCCTCCGGGGGCTTCCCCGGTTTCTCCGTGGCATCCCAACAATTACTCCATTCACACACAGAAGAAGGCAATGGCAAACCACTTCGGGATCATCTGCCAAGAACGTATATGAAAAGGTCCCAGTCCGAGAAAAGGATGGAAGGATCCTGGTCATATGGACCTGTCGTCAGACAGAACACAAAATAAAACGGAGTTTTCGTCCGTGGCATCCCAACAATTACTCCCTTCACACACAGAAGAAGGCAATGGCAACCCACTTCTGGATCATCTGCCAAGAACGTATATGAACAGGTCCCAGTCCGAGAAAAGGATGGAAGGATCCTGTTCATATGGACCTGTCCTCAGACAGAACACTAAATAAAATATAATAAATATAATCTGCTAGAATTATGTGTATTTGGTTATGTAATTCTACTCCTGACTTTATGTCTCTGGGTCTTAATAGTCATGAGATCGACACTCTGTTGATACACCGAGGTCTTGTGAATGACAGTCGAAGTAGAGATCATAGGAAAACTCGGATTTAAACATTTGCCTTCGGAGGTGTACTGGATTATCTCGAGAAATCTTTCAAGTTAGATTCATTACCATTGCCGCCTACACAGAAATAAAGAAATCGTCCACCTTGACTAACTGAGCTTAGTATCAGCGTCTCAAGATGGACTCTGCTGTAAGGAGTTAGTGAAGTCTTGAATTAATACACGTACGGCCATAATTTTTATGAAAGCAATCGCGCCGCACTGCGTCGAGCACAACACATGCAATTAGAGGTTGAACAATGATAATCACATCAAAGCACGCGACAGTTTCAGCCTCATACAGCCGTGATGGAGAAGTTGCCGATCTATAAAGGCGGGTAGTATTAAAACAATACTACGATCAAGGACTCGACGCAAAAAAAATTTATTTCGCATTTGTACGAGAATTATCGGAGCAAATATAGGTAATCAAAGATGACTGTCTGCTCGGATATTGGGCGATGATTATCGCCCTGAAGATGGAGGCAGCAAGCATCTCTGAAACGTCAGCAAACTTCTACCAGACTACACGGCGCAACATCCCAGAAGACAGCCATCATCAATCTGAGATTTTATTTATTGAGGTCGGAGTGTTTGGCAAACAAATTTGCAAAAGTCACGTGTTATAACATAGTCCCATAAATAATTATTTGACGGAATATTTCTCAATTCATCAAAAAACATCCTTCTCTTACAACATAATGTATTTATATAACGCTCCTTTTAATCAAGACCGCTTTAAGGCAATGGGCGAGGGACTCCCCATCCATTTTAACAATTTAATTCCGGTATAACATTAACAAAAGCGAAAAAAATATATGAAAGTTCTAAAATATAAAAAGTACCAATATGTTGGCTTTAAATTATTTCTCAAGACAGAATACAGCATTCAAACCAGCAGTACGAAATTCCGACTTTGTAATATTCTTTTTTCTAGTGTCCAGATATTTAAATCGAATTTAGAAGCAAATATATTCCTGAGATATTCGGAAATAGGTCAGAGTCTATATGCATACAGCATCGACACCCGAGCAGTGGTGACCTTTGGGCAATAGCCCTTTTCCGACTAGAAAAATCTCCCTGCGTTTGGTGAATTTTCATACGTTAAAATCATATATTTTTTTTTTAAATAAAGCCTTAAATATTTTATAATTTTTCAGTTAAACAGGAAGTGTTATGATTTTATGCAACGTCACGGTGGTCTAGCGGTTAGAACGCTGGCCTTGTAAGCCTGGGGTCTCGGGTTCGATTCCCCGTGGTGCTCAGATTTATAACTTGTGTTGGGCAAGGCCGTGGTATAGGCAACACGGAGTTTTCCTCCGGGGGCTTCTTCCCCGGTTTCTCCGTGGCATCCCAACAATTACTCCGTTCACACACAGAAGAAGGCAATGGCAAACCACTTCTGGATCATCTGCCAAGAACGTATATGAACAGGTCCCAGTCCGAGAAAAGAATGGAAGGATCCTGTTCATATGGACCTGTCGTCAGACAGAACACTAAATGATAATAATAATAATAAAAAAGATGTCAATTGGTGTTTTGACAAAAAACCTAAAAGAAATCTGTTGACTATTCGCCTGAGTTGTGATAAAGCCCTATAATTACCAATTAAAAGCAAGGCATTGTGGGTAAGTACGATTTTAGAAATAGGATCTGCAAACCACAACGCATTATAATGTCATTAGAGCAGTGATGGAACGTCATTTACATCAAAACTGAGAGCAGGCTCATCACCGCATATACACGACGTGAACACGTGTCTTGAA